GAATGCTTCTGTGCCTAATCTCATTTGCAATTAGAGAACTCTTCCCTCTTCAATTTTTAACTACTTTCCTGAAATCAGTCAAAGAACTTAAGAATAGTGTCTATTGGGGCACCTGGGTGGCTCAGTGGGTTAAAGCCTCTGCCTTCGGCTCAGGTCATGATCCCACGGTCCTAGGATCGAGCCCAGAATTGGGCTCTCTGCTCAGCGGGGAGCCTGCTTCCTTTCCTCTCTCTGTTTGCTCTCTGCCTACTTGTGATTTCTGTCTATCAAATAAATAAACAAAATCTTAAGAAAAAAAAAAAAAGAAATGTGCTCCCTCAACATAGTCACTTTAAAAAGAGTCTTTTTAAATCATTAATCGCAAAACCTATACTACTTGTACAAAAATCAAAAGTCTATTTAACATTTAGACTAGAATAAAATGATGTGGAATTCTCTGCCTATATAATTAGCATTGAAAAACTAATTTTTTAAAAGATTTTATTTATTTATTTGACAGACAGAGATGACAAGTAGGCAGAGAGTCAGGCAGAGAGAGAGGAGGAAGCAGGCTCCCCACTAAGCAGAGAGCCCGATGTGGGGCTCCATCCCATGACCATGGGATCATGACCCCAGCCGAAGGCAGAGGCTTAACCCACTGAGCCACCCACATGCCCCGAAGAACTAATTTTTTTAATTTGATTTTTTTTCAGTGTTCCAAAATTCATTGTTTATGCACCATACCCAGTGCTCCATGCAATATGTGCCCTCCATAATATCCACCACCAGGCTCACCCAACCTACCACCCCCTTCCCCCCAAAACCCACAGTTTGTTTCTCAGAATTCAGTCTCTCATGTTTCATCTCCCCCTCCGATTTCCCCCAACTCCCTTCTCCTTTCCATCTCCCAATGTCCTCCGTGTTATTCCTTACATTCCAGAAGTAAGTGAAACCATATGATGATTGACTCTCTCTGCTTGACTTATTTCACTCAGTATAATCTCCTCCAGTCCCGTCCATGTTGATACAAAAGTTGGGTATTCATCCTTTCTGATGGAGGCATAATACTCCATTGTATATATGGACCACATCTTCCTTATCCATTCATCTGCTGAAGGGCATCTTGGTTCTTTCCACAGTTTGGCGACTGTGGCCATTGCTGCTATGAACATTGGGGTACAGATGGCCCTTCTTTTCCCTACACCTGTATCTTTGGGATAAATATCCAGTAGTGCAATTGCAGGGTCATAGGGTAACTCTATTTTTAATTTCTTAAGGAATCGCCACAGTGTTTTCCAAAGTGGCTACACCAATCTGCATTCCCACGAATAGTGTAAGAGGAAAACTAATGTTTTTAACAATTATATCATCATAAAGCATTTGCACATTAGCAACTAGTACAGTTTTCATTTAATACCTCCATAAGCAAGTTATATGTGCTCTAAACACATACTTAAATAAACAACCCAATTACGTGCTACAGCTCCCTTCAAGAATGTCTAATATAGTAAAGAAAAGCACTTATCCTTTAACTAATATTGCTTCTGCCTAAGGGGTTGCCTCAAATCTTCTGTGAAATGAGGCAAGGTAGACATAAATAAATATGAATAATAGTATTAATGTGGCAGCTTCTTATTCACTGAGGTGGTGACTGATCAAACAAAGAAGCTAAAAGTATTTATCAGAGGTTCTGTAAATCTAAGTATGGCGGGAGCAACATGGTACAAGTATTTTAGGGTACAGGTATGGAACCTAGACACCCCATGCTTGGATCTATCCTAGTTCCACTGGTCTTATCTCAAATTAGATCAGCCATGATGAGCAAGTTACTCAAACTCTCTAAATCTCCAATTTCTTCTTCCATCATAAGAGTACCTTCCTTTGTGAGGCTTTAAGAGTATTAAATGAGATTACCCACGTATAAGCCCTTAGAATAGTATCAGATGCAAAGCAAGCTCTCAATAAATGTTAACCACTATCATCATCGTCTCGCTGCACCGTTTAAAAAAAAATTGGATATGAAAGTAGTTGAGTAAATTCAGTTCTTCCACACACAAACCAGACAAATGGGCAGACCCCCAGTCCAGATGATGAACCCCTCTATTCACACCATGGGTCTCAGTTTCTACTCATTCGATCTTACGCTGCCTCTCACTGCCAGTCTATACCTCATCTGAACAACCAAAAGAACAATCTGGTTCCTCACACTATATTACATTAATATGTAAATTCATCACTTCAGAAAGAAAATCACAAACAAGCAGTTCATTCATGACTCATTTTATCCATAACAATCTCAAACTTGTCACCCCAAAACTGGATTTTACAGCTACAGTTAAATGAAGTAAACACATTCACAACCATTCATTCAGTGGTATCAGGAAATTAAAAAATCAATATAAACTATCTGAGAGAAGAAAATAGTCCATTAAATATGAATTGTTAAATACTGAGGAAAATGCATCATTATTTTGAAGAGAACAAGCTTAAATGAGAGCAAACACAAGCAATGACCCCTTGTTTTATGACTACATTCAGTAACTGCACAGAAGTCAGAGTCTTAAAATGAAAAAATAGCTACATGTAAAAGAAGAAAGTTTCATCCTTAGGATGAAAATCCTTTCCTTTAGGAAAGGGCCTTATCTTTACCACAAAATTTCTGGATAACAAAAAGATAAAAGGTTACAGTGGAATATGAGTATTTTTTTTTTCTGCCTAGGACCAATCTCCTTTCAAAATTGAGAACTCCTTTTTCCCTAAGGTTGGTTTATAATTAGAAATTAGATTCCTCAATAATTCAATGACTGAAACCTTTATTAAAGTCAAATGACCTCTTTAATTAATTTTTTTCCTAATATATAAGCTCTGCTAGGCAAGTGTCATCTCTACAGATAATAAAGCCTTTATATATTTATTAAATGAGAATTTCCCTCTATGTTCATCCTTTGATTTGATATTTTAACACTAATTAATTATTGGTAAAACTTTTTAATAAAGTATAACAAAGAACTAATGTGTTTTGCAAATGCTCTGATTTGTATAATGCTTATAATATCTGTATTTTTCATTTTATCATGAAAAATATTTAAGCTAAAATAATTTATTCTTCCATTCTCTTTTCTTGAAATTCTCATTTTAAAAGACTACAGCTAGTGAGGGGAAATGTATACAATTTTATTATAGTATTAAGAAGTGTGTCTGGACAGAATTAAGATACATGCCTAAAACTGACATTAGGTTCAAAAGCTCTTGACATAAACAATGCACTTATAATACAGGCCCACCCAAGTAAATATATTAAGGATGCATAAAAATATGGTAATCGCATTTGAATTACTCACTATTTTAATCTTTAAGTATTTGTTTTAAAAACAAAAGTAGTTAAATGATTATTAAGGTACCATGCTAAATGTCCTGGAGTTTGAAAATTCAAAAATCCATTGTCCTCAAACCTCACTTTCCCTAAGGATTCCACTTTAAACTTAGTGAATTTCATTGCCAATAAATCCAAAAACACAAAACCCTTAATTAAGTATACGACTCCCTATGTATATGTTTGAAATCCCATTCACCCATCACTCCACCATTAGCCTAAGATGACGTATGCAAAATGTTTTACCATCACTTTTCTCATCACTCAGAATGGTAAAACCAAAGTGAAGTGATTAAGAGACTTTCGCAGGGATAGCAGCCAATGGTCAGCAATTTTACTTTTTCATCAGGATTCTAAGCTTTCTAGCTCATACAAAGAGAAAAAGAAGAGTATCATCGGACAGAAAGAGCATCAGCTGAGAGGGGGAAACATGCACTTTACAGACACTGGGAGATGTGGGAATATCGGAATTTTGCACACCACCAAACACTAACAAAAAGAGAGAAAAAGGAACAGGAACGTTCTGGATGTAAAACCACTTAACCAGCCAAAGAAGAAGAGTAAAGCACAGTCGTGGGGCGTCCCCACTCCGGCCCACGGTCGCGGTGCTGCCCCTTCACCTGGTTTGCTACGGGAGGCAGATTTCAGCTCTCGTAACGCTTTCAAACGGGTTTTTCTTGGCAAATGTCTGACTCCTCGGGCGAGGCCGTTAAGGTAACTTAATCCCTCGCGAGAAATGCTGATTCCCAATTCAAAAATCAATCCTTTAGCTTTTTCTGGGTCGAGAGTCGCGACAAAAGCCGCAACGGCCGTTCGGATTCAGCATTTGGTCTCGAAGACCCGCGGGACCGAGCAGCGCGCAGGGACCACAGACGCTGGGGGAGGGGCGCGGGGAGCGCGCGGGGGGACGCGGGTCCGCTCCGAGACGCTGCGGGAATGACATGGCATCTGGGCAGCGCGAGTGCTCGCTCGCCCCCTCGGTCCGCGGCCAAAAGCCCGGGAGGGAGTAGGTGCCGCCGCGGACACCGCCGCTATTCTGCGACTCTCGGGAGAACGTGGGGCAGCGCGGCCGGGGAAGCCTCCGCACAGCAAACGGCTTCTTTCTCCGCGCTCCCCGCCTCCCCGGCCAGGGGCAGGGACGACTGTCTTCGCACAGCGGCCGGCTGAGCGGGGCCGAGAGCCGGGGCGACGAGGACAGCAGCTCCCCGGGGGGCGGGGGGTCGAGCCCCAGAGGCTGGCGGAGAGCCGCGGGGAGGCTGACAGGAAAAGGAGGGGTGCGGCGCCGGGAGAACGGGAGAGACGGGGACCGGGGCGCTCCCGGGCGCGCGACGCATCCCGGCTGCCCGAGGCGGGCGCGCCGGGCGGGGGAAGCGGCTCCCGGGCGGACCCCTCCCCTGGCTCCCCGACCGGAGGACGCGGAGGAAATGGCTTTGTATCGCAGGATGAAAGACAGACAGGAGGGCCAGCCGCCGCGGGGGGGACGGAGGATGCCCGGAGCCGGGACGACCCCGCCCGCCCCGCGGACGCCGCCGCTCGGCCCTCGTTCCGCCTGCGCCGCGGCTCGGCGCTCAGGCTCCCGCCGCCCAGGCACGCTCCAGCGGCCCCGAGCGGGGTCGCCGGCCCCGCCCCCCGCGCCCCGCGCGCTCACCTGCCCACGAAGTTCTCGAGCACCGAGCTCTTGCCCGCGCTCTGGCCGCCCACCACGGCGATCTGCGGCAGCTCCAGCAGGCAGCTCTGCCCCAGCGCCGAGAAGGCGTCCTGCAGCCGGTTCACCAGCGGGATCAGCTCCTCCATCTCCCGGTTCCCCATTCTGCCAGCGCCGCCGGCCGCCCGCCGGTCCCTGCTCTCCTCTGCGACCTGGCGGGGGAGCTGGGGCCGCGCCGCGCGAGCCGCCCCTGCCGCGCCGGGTGCTGCCAGCGGGTTCCAGCGCCGACGTCGGACCCCGCCGCGCGCCCGCCGCTCGGCTCTGACAGCTCACGGCCCGCAGCGCGCCTGCGCGGGCGGGAGGGGCGTGGCCTGGCGGCTCGGCCGCCCCATCCGCGCCCCGCCCGGCGGCGATTCGGCGGGAGGCTTCGGGCAGGACCCCGCGGCCGCGCGCGCACGCACTGCCTCCCAGGTGCGGCCAGATGCACGACCTGCGTCTCTGGACCCCGAGCTCGGAGGCGCGGATACGGCACTCGGTCGGGGGTTCGGCATCGGCTACGAAGCCCTGCGGTAACCGCTCAGCCCTGTCAGCAGCGGTAGCGCCAGCACCTCTGTCGCCGCCAGTCACTTCCCAAGAGCAAGTCCCGTGTGCGCACGCCCCACTTCAGATCCCCGCTCCCCTCAGAGCGGCGGGCCTGCGGAGTCCGAGTCCTCGCCTCCGACGTCCACTTCGGGACCTCCGCGGTCGGACCCTGCCGGATCGCTCGACCTCACCGACCCCACCTCCCAGCCCGACGAAGCAGAAACGTCAGCCCGTCGCGCCCGCCCCGCAGCGCTCCCTCTCTGCGGACCCCCGCGACTCCTCCGGCCTTTCTCCCGCCCATCCGTCCCGGGGGCTACCGGAGAGCGAGCGCTCTGCACACGTTCGGTCAAACCGAGCGCACTGACACGTGCCTGCGCGGCGGGTCTGCGCCGCTGACGGAGACACAAAGACAAGCGGCTGTGCTCGCTCGGCCTCCTGAGACGCCTCCTCTTCACGAGTAAACACACGTGCTCTCCGGGACCGAATTCGTGGGCCTTTAACTGTCTCGCACCTCGGACTCTACCTGAGGATGCTGCCTTGGCTTTCATTCCGCGTACTGCCCGGCGACCGCAGGAATCGAAACGCTGGCCCACCTCCCTCCCTTTTACCACAGACTGAACTCCCGCTGGTCCTGGACCTCACTACCCGAATGTCCCACAAGGACCTCTGACGTAACTGACTCAAAACTGAACTCATCTTTTCTAATCTCAGCGCTTAATGCTATAAATTTCCCTTTAGCCCTAAAAAGACGTGTAAAAAATGCCCAAATGACCAAAACACTAAGAAGAACCTAAATGTCCATCAAAAGGTGAACGAATGACCAAGTAGGACCTAGTAGGTCATACTTCTAAGCAACAAAAAGGAGTGAGCGTCTGATAGAGCAATAACGTAGTTTCAACTTCAGATAATTATGTTGAATGAAAGACCCCAAGGAGGACATATTGTATGCTTCCATTTATACGAAGTTGTGCAATAGGCAAAATTATCTATGTTGATAGAAATCAGACCACTGGTTGCCTTTGAGGTGTAGGGCTTGACTGTGAGATGCACCAGAGATCTTTGCAAACTGAGGGAAATGTTCTTGATTTGGATATGAGTAGACATTGGTGGACTCATCGGACTAAACATTTAAGATCTCTGCATTTCACTGTAAATTGTATCTCAACTTTTTTAAAAAGAGAAAGACAAAGCTGACTGCATCACCTCCTCCCCTGAAGAGCATCCCTCATAGGCAATCTGCTCAACATGCCTTCTCCAGGAATCCCCCCTCCATCCACCACATGGTTGTAGCCGGAGTAGTCATGAAGATAGAAGGGCATGAAGAGCAACTGTGTCCTCCGGGCGCTTCCTATCTCAGCAAGAGGCCTGCCCAGTCCCAACCCAGACTCTGGACATCATGCTACTCCTTTGCACTCTCTCTCAACCTCATTCCCCATATCAAGTTGGATCCCAAATTATGCCCATTCTACCTCCCTAGAGCCCACCTCATCCCCTTCATCTTTGCTACCGGTGCCTCATTTATAACTATCATTTGTCAACTATCTTCTTAGTATTTCCCATATATATATATGCCCTGAATAGATAGTCATTACTGCATTTGGCACATTGCATTGAATCTCTGATTTACATGTCTCTTTCTTCCACTAATGTGATAGGCAGAATAATGTCTCCCTACCAAGGATGTCCACGTTTAAATATCCAGAAACTGTGAATATGTTACCTGTCATGGCAAATGGAACTCTGCAGATGTGATTAAACTAAGGACCTTGTGATGGGGAGAATATGCTGGACTATCCCGATGGGTCCAGACTAATCACATGGATCCTGAAGAAGAGAGAGCCTTACCTGGCTGTTTCAGAGGGAGATGTGACTATGGAAGAATGGTCACAGAGACACAACTTTGCTGCCTTTAAAATGGAAAGGGGGCGGGGCAGAAGCCAAGAGATGTTGACCACCTCTAGAAGCTGGAAAAGTCAGGGAAACAGGTTCTCCCTAGAGCCTCTAAAAGGAACACAGCTGTGTTGACACCTTGATTTTAGCTCAGTGAGATCTGTGTCAAACTTCTAACCTACAGAGCTGTAAGATAATAAATTTGTGTTGTTTTAAGCCACTAAATTTGTGCTAATCCATTACAACAGCCACAGAAAGCCAGTACAACTAATGATACATTCCTCGAGGGCAAGATCCATCTTTCTGATTCTCAGTGCCTAGAACCTAAGAACACCATAGTCAACGGGGGATAGACAGAAACAAATTATCACAGCACAAGGTAGCACGTGTTCTGTTCCAACAGTGATATGGACTGACCTGTGTCTCCTCAAAATTCATATGCTGAAGTCCTCGGTGTGGCTGTATTTAGAGTAAGGTTAAATGAGGTCATAAGGCTGGAACACTGATCTAGCAGGACTAAGGTCCTTGCAAAGCTTGGTCTATCTCTGCCATGCAGGGACACAGTGAGAAGCAGGCCATCTGCAAACCAGGAACAGAGTCTTTACCGGGAACCAAATCAGTCAGCACCTTAATGTCAGACTTCCCAGCCTCCCAAATTCTGAGGAAATAAGCTTCTGTTGTTTAAGCCACCCCGTCTACATGTCATTATGACACTCTGAGCAGACTCAGACATCACATTCGTTTAAAGGGAAAAGGGGAAAACAAGATGGGAATCAGAGAGCTACAATTCCATCTGGGGAGGCCTTGAGATGTCCGGCACTCTGCTCTGTGCTGTGAGGAACACAAAGAACTCAGAAGCCCTTGCCCTGAGTATCTCACATTCTAATGTAAAAGACAATGTTAGACAGAGAATGTATAATCATTACGGGAAATTTGCATTTCATGTGCACTGAAGCCAAGCATGTCATCTCTACTCTCTAGAACTTCCTTCAAGTCAGTCCCGCCCAACCACTTCAAGAAACCAACCGGAACTACTTTTGTTCATTGGTTTCCCTCTTTACTTCCCATTTCCAGAGTCAGTTCTGCAATAACACGGAACCAGGTGAAATTTAATACTCACACTCAACATGCTTTTCGCATAAATTAATCTAAATAAAACAAATAGCCAAGAAAAGGAAAACTCCGAGGGGAAATCTTAGGGGGAATTTTTGACACAAAGACAACCTACACCTTTGAGGGTGGGTGTGAAGCAGCAAAGGGGAGCCCGGTCAGCCGCCCCTGCTTCCTGACTGCATCACGTGATCACCTCAGCCCTGCTCCAGCACCAAGTGATGAATGCAAACTCCTGCTCTCTATCACATTTGTTTTCTCACCTAGAGAGAGAAGATTCCTAAAGGTTAACAGCCATTTTCGGGCGTGGCTCTCTATCTAAGAAGTTAACTTTTTATGAACACATCCAAACTGTTATTGAAATGAGTATTTTCCTTCAGGGTCATTTTGAGAAGCAACAAGCCTATTGCAATAATGCTGCATTTCATACAGTATCATGGAACACCTCCTTTGAAATTAATAAGCCTTATCGAAAAACTCAGATTCAGTTTTCCACAGTCTCACATCATTTCAGATGAACGGAATGTTATCTATGTTGATTTCCTGCCACATTCATAGGACTTAGTACCAAATAACTTTTGGTTAATTCTAAGAATTAAATGTATATGTTTAAATATCTGTATCTTAAACAGACATATATTTTTAAAATATGCTACAGGCTGGAAGCAAACTCTAAGGAGTTAGAAAAGTCTTGAGGAGGGAAAACATCTCTGGAAAAATATTTAACCTGTCGAAAAAGAGCACACACTTGAATATATGATTTAGGAATTCACGGTTTAAAAAAGAAAAGTCACATTTCTGCAGACCCACATCTCATATATCTCCCACAGTGCCTAGCTCAGTAATCAATAAATATTTATAAAGCATCTGAAACCAAACTTTAAACATTTGTCATGTCAATCTTTGTGAGTGCTGCTGGGTAAATTATAGTATTACTCTGTGTACAATTTAGGACCTATTCAAGCCCTACAGTTCTTTCTCCAAAGGTTATTACTTGGACGGATTTTAGATCTTACTGCCGATCAGTTTATCTGCAGGCATCTTTTGAGTTTCTGTGAAAGCCAGTGAACGTCCAGTATAGACACACAGACTTCCAATACCATAGCCATGCTCGTTGGCACTTACGTCTCTCGGGGCTTCTCTCCTTCAGCCAAAAGCAGGGGTCAGAAAGCAAAGACTCATTGGGTTCCTGGGTGGCTCAGTTGGGTAAGTGTCTGCCTCTGGCTCAGGTCATGATCCTGGAGTCCCTGGATCAAGTCCCGCATTGGGCTCCCAGCTATGCAGGGAGAAGAAGACTCCCTCTGATCTTCTCCCCTCTCATTCTCTCTCTCTCAAATAAGTAAAATATTTTTTAAAAAAAAGAAGAAGAAGAAAGAAAGAAAATAAAGACTCCCAATTTTATTGCTCATATTTTTCCTTACCTGTCTTCAGGGAGCAAAATAACTCTGGAAGAACCACTCGGGTCTCCTACCCTTACTACTTCTGTCAGTCTGAGGTCTGACAGATGGAATCTCACCAGTAGTCCCATGGAAGCATGGCTGTACTGACACACCTACAGGGTGGATAATACTGATCGGTAAGCTTAAGGTATTAAAACAGAAGGGATAGGAAGCACTCTCTACAGCACTCAAGTCTGATTTAGTAGCCAGTTTGTGCCTCCTTCTATCAAGCAGGTATAGTTGGGTTCTGCTGTAAGCAACAGCCACATGTACCAAAGTCGAACAGAAGTCACAGAGGACTCCT